CAACCGTCGATAGTTGTAGTGGCGGAGGAGGAAACGTATTGAACATAAAGATCCGGCTCGATTAGCTTGTTGCGGTTAGATAACGAGAAAATGAGGGCGATGAGAACGTTCACGACCCCGAAGATGAATATTCCACGGGTTAAACCACCGGAAAGAACCCACCGGAGGTATTCACCGGCGGAGAGAAAAGGCGTCAACCAAGAGAGTAGAAGTAACACGGCAACGAGAACTTCAATCACTTGAAGAATCTTCCAAAACTTTCTCGTTCTCTCGAACTTGTTCATGGCATCCATTTTCTCTGCAGCAACATTCTCGGATACAAACGACGCCATTTTCTTGTGACTCCCGGGACTGAGATATTCCAGGAAAAGTGAAGGTTTAAAGTAGAGTGGATGGTGATCACTAGAGACTTATCTAATGGCTAATGGAATAATTAGTTGGGGATTTTTATAATAGAGATAAAAGGACTCTATAATTGGTTGAATTATTGGAGCAAATGGGGATATATCATACTTCTTTATAGTTCGGTCGTGGAAATTATGTACATGACTAAAAAGCATTAGGTGAATAAGTCCAATTTCCGTAAAAAACAATTTGTTAATTCTATAGAATTATTGGGGGACAATTTGAATAAAGTAATGCTAATAAAAATGTGAAGAAATTGTTAGAAATAGTTGGCGAGGTGAAGCTGCAGTGTATAGCAACGACCGGGCACGAATAAGCACGTTTAGGTGACGTACAACGCCGGACGTAACGGACACGTGTTTATAGCCTATTGTTTTTTGTATTTCTTTTGTTTCCACTCAATTACTACATTCATTGTACGTTTTATAAATAATACAGTATCAGTGACTAGATTCATTTGATTGTTTGTTTTTCTTCTGGTCTCAAGATTCAGCGTTTAATAGATTTCTTTATACATCATTTTCAAACTGTTTTAACGTCACAAAATTCCTAATAACTACATGCATGGTCATTCATAAAGACTGAATCTTAAGTTTGATGTAGTAATCAGCATGTGGTTATTTTGTTGCGGTATGCAGTCCCGTCTCAATACTTTTTGGGACCGTGGGCCAAATTTTTTTTAGTCTG